CCTCTCATCTCGCCCCTCTCATCTCCTCCCTCCTCCCCGCTCGTCCCCTCTCATCTCCCCCTCCCCTCCCCTCTCATCCCCTCTCATCTCCCCTCCCCCTCTCCTCCCCTCCCCCTCATCTCCCCTCCCCTCATCTCCCCTCCCCTCATCTCCCCTCTCATCCAACCCCTCTCATCTCACCCCTCTTATCTCCCCCCTCCTCCCTGCTCCTCTCCTATCATCTCCCCTCCCCCTCCACTCCACTCCCCTCATCTCCCCTCCCCTCATCTCCCCTCTCATCCAACCCCTCTCATCTCGCCCCTCTCATCTCCCCCCTCCTCCCTGCTCCTCTCCTATCATCTCCCCTCCCCCTCCACTCCACTCCCCTCATCTCCCCTCTCATCTCCTCTCCCCTCTCATCTCCCCTCCCCTTCCCTCACATCTCCCCTCTCATCTCCCCTCCCCCTCTCCTCCCCTCCCCTCCCCTCATCTCCCCCCTCATCTCCCCCCTCATCTCCCCTCCCCTCTCATCTCCCCTGCCCTCTCCGCGCTGGGCGTAGTTTCCGCGTGGAGAGCGAGGAGGACAACTACCGCCTGAGGCTGGGCCACTTCCGCGGCACGGCAGGCGACTCCATGGGGCTGCACCACGGGAAGCCGTTCAGCACCTACGACCGCGACAACGACGCCTTCAGGGGTGATTGATTTATTTAAAAATAAAAATAAATGAAAATAAATCAAATAAATCAATTAATTGATTTCTTTTCATTTATTCTTATTTTACATTTTTTAATTAATTGCTTTATTTCCATTTATTCTTATTTTTATTTTTTTATTTTATTTTTTTACCTACGTGACTTTACCAGAAAAAACCCAAGAGTAAATTTTTTTTTACACTTCACCAAGCGCGCTCGCCTCGCTAGTCCTTGACGCCCCGTCTCTTCCCCCCCCCACCCCTCCCGCCCCTCGCCGCAGGGAACTGCGCGCATCACCAGAAGGGCGGCTGGTGGTACAACGCGTGCTCGCACGCAAACCTCAACGGCGTGTGGTACGAGGGCGGCCGCTACGCGGGCAGCGAGCAAGACGGCGCCTACTGGACGACGTTCCGTGGCACGGCCTACTCGCTCAAGAGCATCGTGCTCATGATACGGCCCAACCCAAACTTCTACCACTGAGCAGCGGCGGGCGGGAGAGGTGGTGCCGGTGGTGGGGTGGCCGTCGTCGCGACGATCCGTGCGGTCGGAGTCGCCGTGGTTGTTATGGATCGCCCTCGTCTTAGACTAGATTGCCGTGTCGCGGATTGTTGTCAGCGGCCGTGGCCAGGAAATAGCTTCGGTTGGGATGCGACGCTGCCAATATCGCCATAGCAAATCATCATCATCGTCGTCGTCATCATCGTCATCAGCTTGGTATATCCGTGTTCTCGTCAGCATCATCATCATAATACAGGTTTTTTTGGGTTAGATCGCGTAAAATATATTTACGCGATTTGTATTACGGGTGATACAAGCCTTCGTGTTAAACTCAATCATCATCATCAGCATCGTCAGGCTACATCACAGCGTTATTATCATCATCATAATCACCGAATCGTCGACCAGTCATTGTTATCGATCGCCCTCGTTTTCTACTTGACTGCCGTGTTGTGGATTATTGTCAGCGCCCGTGGCAATGGAATGGTTTCGAATGGGATGCGACGCTGACGATGTCGCCATCATCATCAGCAGCAGCAGCAGCAGCAGCATCGTGTTCCACGTCAGACTATATACAGCGTTATCATCTTTATATTCTTAGGTTTTTTCGGTAAAGTCACGTAGGTAAAACATCAAAATTAATTAAAATAAAATAAAATCACGACGTTTCGGAGGCAACACAAGTCTCCGTCATCAGGTGGGACCGTCACAGCCAGATTAGCTGCATCAAGTGATGCAGCTAATGCATCAAGTGATGCAGCTAATCTGGCTGTGACGGTCCCACCTGATGACGGAGACTTGTGTTGCCTCCGAAACCTCGTGATCTTTATTTTATTTAATTTTTATTAATTTAGATGTTTTACCTACGTGACTTTACCGAAAAAAACCTAAGAATATGAATCATTGCAGTCACGAAAGCTTCAAATCTAGAATTAATTTGTGGATTATTGTCAGCGCCCGTGGCAATGGAATGGTTTCGGATGGGATGCGACGCTGACGATGTCGCCATCGTCACCATCATCATCATCAGCAGCAGCAGCATCGTGTTCCACGTCAGACTATATACAGCGTTATCATCGTCATCACTTTACTCAATTCAAGGGTCGTGTTTGAATCTTATCGATTACAACTTTGGCCGCTTGGCATTTTGTGGGCCTTTGGTGGCCCTGCTCAGCAAAATGCGGTTTTAAAAAAATCCCTCAAATTTGTTGTCATCACGTTATTTATCTTTATACCCATCACAATCACGGATGTGATCTTCCTGGTGCATCTTCCTTCGATTTGGTACAATTTCAGACGCGACTTTTATAACGGCGGTAAAAACCAAAAACAATAGGAGTTGCAGCTGGGCTACAACTACTTTTTTTAGGTTGTACCAACCAATGTTTCACACAGTTCGCTATGTACGGTGCGAAATAAGTTCAACAAATAATTCTGCCCGGAGACTCAACACTACCCATAGACTCAACGCTGCCCATAGACTCAACGCTACCCATAGACTCAACGCTGCCCATAGACTCAACACTACCCATAGACTCAACACTGCCCATAGACTCAACACTACCCATAGACTCAACACTACCCATAGACTCAACACTACCCATAGACTCAACACTACCCATAGACTCACCACTACCCATAGACTCAACGCTGCCCATAGACTCAACACTGCCCATAGACTCAACGCTGCCCATAGACTCAACGCTGCCCATAGACTCAACATTGACCATAGACTCAACGCTACCCATAGACTCAACACTGCCCATAGACTCAACGCTGCCCATAGACTCAACGCTGCCCATAGACTCAACGCTGCCCATAGACTCAACGCTGCCCATAGACTCAACGCTGCCCATAGACTCAACGCTGCCCATAGACTCAACGCTGCCCATAGACTAACACTACCCATAGACTCAACACTGCCCATAGACTAACACTACCCATAGACTCAACACTGCCCATAGACTAACACTACCCATAGACTCAACACTGCCCATAGACTAACACTACCCATAGACTCAACACTGCCCATAGACTAACACTACCCATAGACTCAACACTGCCATAGACTAACACTACCCATAGACTCAACACTGCCCATAGACTAACACTACCCATAGACTCAACACTGCCCATTAGACTAACACTACCCATAGACTCAACACTGCCCATAGACTAACACTACCCATAGACTCAACACTGCCCATAGACTAACACTACCCATAGACTCAACACTGCCCATAGACTAACACTACCCCATAGACTCAACACTGCCCATAGACTAACACTACCCATAGACTCAACACTGCCCATTGACTAACACTACCCATAGACTCAACACTGCCCATAGACTAACACTACCCATAGACTCAACACTGCCCATAGACTAACACTACCCATAGACTCAACACTGCCCATAGACTAACACTACCCATAGACTATCATTGCCCAAACTCAACACTGCACCTCCAACTGGCACGGTTTGCTACGTATGGTGCAAAAGAACACACGTACTCACTACTATACACTTCCATACACTACGACACAGCACACGATGCACCGCATGTACAAGAGTCCGACCCACGCTACCGCTTCGTATCTTCCTGCGTTGACTAAATCCTACTCGGAGCTACCCCCGCCGCGTCTCTCCGCCTCGCCTTTCGCTGCGACGAGCGCGCGAATAAAAACCATTCCTCGTTTTTTTCCCCCGCCTCCTCCGCACCCCGATTCGGAGACGCCAAGCGCGCCCGCGCGTCACCGAGCGTGCATCTCCGGCGGATGAGTGAAACCACGTGACGACGTCAGCGTGGCTGCCACCCTCCCCCCCCGGCCCCCACCGCGTGTATCTGGCGCCGTGTGCCAACGGACACCGCCGGCGGGGCCGGATGAGCGTGGTTCCGGTCACACCGCACCCACCACGATGGGCGTGCCGCCGTGCCAGCCTCAATAGGTGCTCGTTAACAGCGCTCGCTCGCTCACCGTCGCCCGCCGCTGTGCGGGCTACAGGAGGGATCGTTTATAATCTTGCGGTGGCGGCGGTGGGGGCCTTGGCCTACGTGCGTCTCTCTCTCTCTTTCGAGCCTGCCAAGTGCGTGTGCTCAGCAGATGATGCGAGCGACTCGGGCGCGCGGAAAACTAGAACGACGCGCTGCTGAAAATATGCGTGATGTCGAAAGGGGATTCTTTGAAAGAACACGAGTGTGGGTTTGTGTTGGTAAAAAAAATATATATTATAGAATGAATTATATAGTAATAGGTTTTTACCCTATCAACTGGTACAAAACTGACACCTTTATACAAGGCATCATGTTTGCAATAACCACAACACAAGCAGTCAAAATGCAAACAAAAAGAAACAACTCTGATGATGATAATGATATGCACTGTCCTTGAAGTTGATTGGCCCACACCCGAGACAGCTTTTCTTAAAGTCTAGTCTCCATTGGTGTTAGAGCAGATGACGCCAAAAGGCGTACAACTCAAAGACAGCGCACTATCAGAGTATTGAGAGCTCGGGGTAAGCATTTACACTATGAGACATCTCCTTTACCAGTGGCAAAATATAGTAGTAGGGTTTTACCCTTTCAACTGGTACAAAACTGACACCTTTATACAAGGGATCATGTTTGCAATAACCACAACACAAGCAGTCAAAATGCAAACAAAAAGAAACAACTCTGATGATGATAATGATATGCACTGTCCTTGAATGAATTATATAATTGAACTCCATTTACCGTATGGAGCTGCGATCCCGCCGTGATGAATGCTTACCACGTGTTCGAGAGAGAAACCTTGGCACACGCTCGGATTAATCAATTCATTCATTCGCTAGTTCACGCGCAGACGATTTATCTCGCGGGGGGCGAGAGGGGGCAGATCGACGGGGTGTTCACGGTTTTCCCCGTCCCCGCCCCCCCACCGCCCCCACCGCATTCGGCGTTCGTTTACGTCACTTTACCAAATAAATAACATCGCCACTTGACCACCGCCGGCCCGCGTGAGCTTCATCGCGGGGGAGGGACGGACGCCTCTCGCGTGGACCGAGCGCGCCGGCGATGCCGCGTTCTGAATAAATAAGCAATCAAACAAATCGGCAACCTCATCTGCAACAACCGGGACGGCCCCTGGCTGCATTCGAACCGCGAGGCTCTGCGACGGCCGGCGAAGGTAGTTAACATCTCCTAGCCACCGTGATGATGATGAGAGAGAAAGACACCGCAAACTCCAAATATACAGCAGCAGGCGTCAGGGTCTGCATCGAACCCACGACCTCCTGTACACCAGGCGAGGTAGTTAACATCTCCTAGCCACCGTGATGATGATGATGAGAGAGAAAGACACCGCAAACTCCAAATATACAGCAGGTGTCAGGGGTCGAGATCGAACCCACAACCTCCTGTACACCAGGCGAGGTAGTTAACATCTCCGAGCCACCATGATGATGATAAGAGAGAGAGACACGCAAACTCCAAATATACAGCAGGTGTCAGGGTCAGGGTCGATCCCACGACCTCCTGCATACCAGGCGAAGTAGTTAACATCTCCTAGCCACCATGATGATGAGAGAGAGACACTGCAAACTCCAAATACACAACAGGTGTCAGGATCGGGATCGAACCCATGACCTCCTGTACACCAGGCAAGGTAGTTAACATATCCTAGCCACCGTGGCGCCCCTGGCGGAGCCAAGGTACCAGGGGCGCCTTCTCGACGTCCACCCACGGATGGGGGGGGGGGGGAAGGGAACCTCACGACATTCACACGGCGATCCACCGACCCTCCACTGCTGCTGGACCGCCACGTCGCCGGCCGATGGGGCCCCGGGGGCTTACCGAGGTACGGGATGCAGGGCATCATGCGGATGCTGTGCACGTACTCCCGGATGCGCTTGTAGTTGTCCTCCTTGGACATGAGGTAGTCCAGCTTGTCGAACGACGCCTTGTCCTTGCGGCTCAGCAGCTGGGAAGGGAAATCATCTTAAATCTTTCTTTCGTCTGGGCTGCTGATGTAGACGCAGAGAAATCAACTACAATTTCACAGCGGATAACGGCAAGCGGAGTGGGTGTATCATCATCATCGTCGTCGTCGTCGTCGTGATTTCTCTATTAGTATGAGCGTTTCTATGGGTCTCTATGTGGTCTCCGAGTCTCTGTGCATCTCTATTAGTCTGGATCTCTATGGGTGTCTATGAGTCTCTGTGTGTCTCTATTAGTCTGGATCTCTATGGGTATCTATGAGTCTCTGTGGGTCTCTATTAGTCTGGATCTCTATGGGTATCTATGAGTCTCTGTGGGTCTCTATTAGTCTGGATCTCTGTGGGTGTCTATGAGTCTCTGTGTGTCTCTATTAGTCTGGATCTCTATGGGTATCTAAGCGTCTCTTCTTTCGTATGGCTGATGTAGATGCAGCACAACAAACCACAATGTCACTATCAGGTGGGTCAAGCCAAATAACGACATCAGGACCAGCAGCGTAGTAGTGTGCCATCATCACCGCCGTGATGTCTTCCTCGTATTTGTGGATTGGGCATTGTGTTGTTACACGGTGCACTAGTGTCTATTCTGGGTGACCACAGTTGCACCACGACTACTATTCTGCTGCAGATGTCATCCGCGTGGTTTGTGCGGTGGATGCGTTCGACGGTGGATCAAGAGTAGCCTCAAACCCCAGGGGATCTTCTGCTTTGGGTCTTTCACAACATCGTGTTTATTTGAGAGTTCTAACTTTAATCAACTAGAATTTCACTGGCCTACGGCTGCCTGTCACCCTCACTGAAGTCATCTTCTTCCCCCTCCCCCCCCCCCCATGTGTCCAGATACTACTGACTCTGTTGTCTGTAGGGAGTGTCGGTGTATGTGCCTACACACCCAACATACTATAGAGTCAGTAGATACCACTACTACTGACTCTATATGCCTACACACCCTACATACTATAGTCAGTAGATACTACTACTACTGACTCTATAGATGCCTACACACCCTACATACTATAGTCAGTAGATACTACTACTACTGACTCTATATATGCCTACACACCCTACATACCATAGTCAGTAGACACTACTACTACTGACTCTATATATGCCTACACACCCTACATACAATAGTCAGTAGATACTACTACTACTGACTATAGATGCCTACACACCCTACATACTATAGTCAGTAGATACTACTACTACTGACTCTGTATGTGCCTACACACCCTACATACTATAGTCAGTAGATACTACTACTACTGACTCTGTAGATGCCTACACACCCTACATACTATAGAGTCAGTATATACTATAGAGGAGTCAGTAGGTACTATACAGACTATAAAAGGCAACCGGGCATGGTGCTGGCCACCCACCCCCTCGTGTGCCACAGTGCCGGTAGCCTTCGCAGGTGCTACTCGCAAACAGCACTTGCCCCGACGCTCCGTTACAGGCTACACGGGGGATCTTTGCCTTTGTGTGTTGCGTGCGGGCCTAAATGCTCGTACCCCCCAGGTCTTGGCGAGACGGAAGATGGGGGCGCTCTGCAGGGCTGAGAGCACGGCGATGAGAGCGTGCAGATTCTTGAGCTCGTGAAGCTTCTGCAGAACCACCATCAACAACGGCAACGGGTGCCATAAACAACGTCAACAATGATCCATGATACAGGCTTTAGATCAGAGGTCGCAACCGGGTACCCGATACCCGTACCCTACCCGATACCTGGCTACCCGTACCCGGCCGGGTACGGGTACGGGTAGCTGTTTGCGACCCTGGTACGGCCGGGTACGGGTACGGGTAGGCCGTGAGTCATCGGTGAGTAACCGTTTGTCACTCATTTCGGGTAGGGTACGGGTATGGGTAGCGTACGGCTACCCATACCCGGCCGGGTACGGGTACGGGTACCCATTTGCGACCCTGGTGCGGCCGGGTACGGGTACGGGTAGACCGTGAGTCACTGGTGAGTCACCGTTTGTCACTCATTTACCAACGTCTTGTCTCTTCTCACAATTCAAGTTCCTAGAATCAACCCACCCGCGCCTGCAACATGGCTTCATTCCAGAGGTCGCAATCGGGTACCCGATACCCGTACCCTACCCGATACTCGGCCGGGTACGGGTAGGGTACGGGTACGGGTACCCGTTTGCGACCCTGGTGCGGCCGGGTACGGGTAAGGAATCAAAACCCGTTTGCGACCTCTGCTTTAGATCGCGTACATTTACAAGTGTGTGTGTTTTAAACCCGCCATGGCTAAATTCCTCTGTTGATATGTAAACTCCTTTGTCAAGGCTCTCTCCTACTCCGACCCAGTTTAATAATACGCTGCCAAGCTAAGCAGTGTTCATTAGGACGCTGTCTTTCCGACAGACCTGTTCTTCACCTGAGGACGGCTGCCTCCGTTGTGGCCGAAACGTCGTGAGAATTATTTCTATTATTCTATTATTTCCCTTCTACGTGACTTTACCGAAAGAACCAAGAATATGAATCCATGCAGTCACGAAAGCTTTAAATCGAAACTTAGTGAGGTTTGTCATGTAAACAGACCGTGGCCAATTCGTTACTAGTACAGCACTACACCGGGTGCGTTGCAGAGCAAAGCCACAACAACATTTACAATCTGAGTGTACGACGTTTCGCCGGTCAATACAACCGACATCATCAGGCGACAGCCACATATGTGGAGAAATCAGAGGTGGGACAAAGTCATTGTTATGCAAGTCCAAGTCGAGTCTGAAGTAATCAAATTCATGACTCGAGTCTGACTCGAGTCCAAGTCACATGACTCGAGTCCACACCTCAGAGGTGGGACAAAGTCATTGTTATGCAAGTCCAAGTCGAGTCTGAAGTCATCAAATTCATGACTCGAGTCTGACTCGAGTCCAAGTCACATGACTCGAGTCCACACCTCAGAGGTGGGACAAAGTCATCAAATTCATGACTCGAGTCTGACTCGAGTCCAAGTCACATGACTCGAGTCCACACCTCAGAGGTGGGACAAAGTCATTGTTATGCAAGTCCAAGTCGAGTCTGAAGTCATCAAATACATGACTCGAGTCTGACTCGAGTCCAAGTCACATGACTCGAGTCCACACCTCAGAGGTGGGACAAAGTCATCAAATTCATGACTCGAGTCTGACTCGAGTCCAAGTCACATGACTCGAGTCCACACCTCAGAGGTGGGACAAAGTCATTGTTATGCAAGTCCAAGTCGAGTCTGAAGTCATCAAATACATGACTCGAGTCTGACTCGAGTCCAAGTCACATGACTCGAGTCCACACCTCTGGGAGAAATCCTCCTGAATAGAGGGGTAGAGATGTGGTGATGTCACTTGTGAGCACTTCTTGAGCAAAGCGGGGTTCAGGGGGGGATTAACGAATGTGTATAAATGACAATGATGTTAACAACATCGAACGCATCTGCGATATTATCAACGTCAACAAAAACACGAAACATTGACAACCAGATCAAGCACATCAACCCCAACAACATCAACATTATCAACATCATCAACATCAAACACAACATCAACAACGTGACCCCCAACAACATCAACATGATCAACATCAACCCCAACATCAACCCCAACAACATCAACATTATCACCACCATCAACCACATCATCAACAACCCCAACATCAACATTATCAACAACATCAACCACAACAACATCAGCATTACCAACACCACCAACCACATCAACAAAACCAACCACAACATTATCATCATCAACAACATCAACCCCACCAACATCATCAACAACAACATTATCAATCACAACAACATGATCCTCAACATCATCAACAACATTCAACATCATCAACATCACCAACATCCATCACAGCAACATCAACATCATCTGAAAAAGATCGACACGTACAAAGATTTTGCTTTCGTGAGTCAGACCACCCATCTTGGCGATTTTGATGAAATGGAAAAAAATTTCCTACAAATGTCCACACGATGTTCGGCCACTTCGTTCACCTATATTTGGAGCTTTCGTGACTGCAGGAATTACTCTTTGGTTCTTTCGGTAAAGTCACGTATAAAGATAAAATAATAAATTAAATACTAGCATACGACGTTTCGATTGCAACACAAGCAATCATCATCAGGTATAAGGCCTCGACACAGAGACGTGGCTTTCTCTGTGTGTCTATGTTTGTGTCTCTCTCTATGTATCTCTGTGATATCTGTCTGCTTATATGTCTGTCTATATGTCTCTGGTTCTGTGCTTTATCTCTCTCTCAAATGTAGCATTCTCAGGAAGAACGTAATCAACCAGGTAGGGTGTTGACTGTTATATTATCCTACTCTCTGTTGTATTACATTACATTTCTAAGTATACTAGATTTGTGTTTCTATTTCATTTGTACCTGATGATGATTGCTTGTGTTGCAATCGAAACGTCGTATGCTAGTATTTAATTTATTATTTTCTCTCTATACGTGACTTTACCGAAAGAACCAAAGAGTAATTCCTGCCGTCACGAAAGCTCCAAATTCAAGATTGAACCACTTCTACGGGGAAGTTCCAAGTTTATCTTTCTCTCTCTCTCTGGGTTTTTTGTTTTCTCTCTCTGACTGTGTACCTATCATTTGTGATTGCCAGGTTGCTCCTGCAAAAAGAGCTATTACAAAGCAGCTCAGTGGGGCCTGACCTGGTAAAACAAAAATATATTTTCGTTAAACGTCCCACCTTGGCGATTTTGATGAAATGGCATAAGATTTCCGCCCGGATCTTGAGAGTGCGAGCCTTCAAGATTTCACGCACCACCCAGAAGCTCACCTGCATAACACACGGAGCGACAAACCCACCCCGGATGGTTTGAGAGGAGTCTCACTTTATAGTGACCTGGGTGAATGAGTGGGTGAATGAGTGGGTGAATGAGTGGGTCGATTGAGTGGGTGAATGAGTGGGTTAATGAGTGGGTGAACGAGTGGGTGAACGAGTGGGTGAACGAGTGGGTGAACGAGTGGGTGAACGAGTGGGTGAACGAGTGGGTGAATGAGTGGGTAAATGAGTGGGTGAATGAGTGGGTCGAATGAGTGGGTGAATGAGTGGGTGAATGAGTGGGTAAATGAGTGGGTCGAATGAGTGGGTGAATGAGTGGGTGAATGAGTGAATTAATAAGTGGGTGAATGAGTGGGTGAATGAGTGACTGAATGAGTGGATGAATGAATGGATGATTGAGTGAATCATTGAGTGGGTGATTGAGTGGATGATTGAGTGACTGAATGAGTGGATAAATGAGTGGGTGAATGAGTGGGTGAATGAGTGGGTGATTGAGTGAATGATTGAGTGGGTGAATGAGTGGGTGATTGAGTGACTGAATGAGTGGATGAATGAGTGGGTGAATGAGTGGGTGAATGAGTGGGTGATTGAGTAAATGAATGAGTGGGTGAATGAGTGGGTGATTGAGTGAATGAATGAGTGGGTGATTGAGTGAATGAATGAGTGGGTGAATAAGGGAGTGGTGCGGTTTTTTTTGTAACCAGCAGTGAGAACTCAAAGAGACCAGGATAGGAGTCTCACTTGAAAGAGAGATGAATGAGTGAGTGGGTGATTGACCGAGTGAACGGGTGAATGAGTGGGAGATTGACCGAGCGAACGGGTGAATGAGGGAGCGGGTGAAGGAATGAGTGATCGAGTGAGTGGATGGGTGAGTGAATGGGTGAGTGGGTAGGTGCCGGGGTGAGCGAGTGGGTCAGTTCACGTTCCGAGTTGCTGTTGTGTGTGACAAGGTGAAAACTCAAAAGGGAACCCGCTATGGGGAGAGTCTCGTTTTGCAAGCGTCACCTGGGCCACCAAAACGACAAAAAGTGAAACAAAATAGAACAAAGTGCAGCGATGCGGAATACAAATAAGTATAATCCGTAAAAACAAAGTTTTTCACTATAAATCCTTTATATGCGTGGCAGCGAACTTAATATAAAGGATTTAAAAATATATTCGCCTGTGGAGGACGCGGGGATCGATCCCGCGACCTTTGGCATGGGAAGCGAGGGCGCTACCAACTGCGCTACTCCGCCACGGCCTGTGGAGGGGTTACGCTCTGGGCTCTTATACTGTGACGTTCAGCCAAAGCCAAGAATGAGTTCTATTTGAATATATGTAAAATATTTTTTTTTTGCCTAAAAAGTGTAAAATTTTGGGAATTTTTTTTCACGAACATTAATTGTCTGGCATAACGAGTCTGTGTGGAAAATGTCAGCTCGATTGGATCACGGGAAGTGAGTTAAAAAACGACCGAAAGATTTGCACGGTCCTAAGCAAGCAAGCAAGCACGCAAGCAAGCGAACTTAATATAAAGGATTTAAAAAGAACCAAAACAACAGAATGGCCGAGCGAGGTGGAGCATCAGTGAGCGAGTGAGCAGGAGAGCGAGTGAGTGAGCCAGCGAGGTGTTGAGTGGATAAGCGAGTGAACGTACGAGTTGATAAGCGGGCGAGCGCCGATTGAGCGAGATGGCGAATCGGTACGACAGTGAGCAAAGCAAACGCGCGGGCGATCGCGCGGGAGCGAGCGTGTGAGCGATTGAGCGAGCGATGTGTTGGGCAGCTAAAGCGAGCTAAGCGTGTGAGCGGGCGAGCGGGCGAGCGAGCGAGCGAGCGTGTGAGCGATTGAGCGAGCGATGCGTTGGGCAACTAAAGCGAGCTAGGCGCGTGAGCGAGTGAGCGATCGCGCGGGAGCGAGCGTGTGAGCGATTGAGCGAGCGATTTGTTGGGCAGCTAAAGCGAGCTAAGCGTGTGAGCGGGCGAGCGAGCGAGCGTGTGAGCGATTGAGCGAGCGATGTGTTGGGCGGCTAAAGCGAGCTAAGCGCGTGAGCGATTGAGCGAGCGAGCGTGTGAGCGACTGAGTGAGCGATGCGTTGGTCGGCTAAAGCGAGCTAAGCGTGTGAGCGGGCGAGCGAGCGATTGAGTGAGCGATGTGTTGGGCAGCTAAAGCGAGCTAGGCGCGTGAGCAAGCGAGCGAGCGAGCGCGCGAGCGAGCGATGCGTTGATCGGCTAAAGCGAGCTAGGCACGTGAGCGAGCGAGCGATCGCGATGGAACCCCGCTGATCCGGAGGGGAAGCGCGTACGTGGTTGAATCTGCGAGTGAAGGCGACGACGTTGGGTGCGAGGCTGTGCTTCTCTTTCCTGTTCCACCCGCAGCTCGACAGCTCCTGCCGGCGTCACGCACGCAACACGGTTCACAATTATAACGTGACGACCATAACGTCAAGAACGCAACACGATTCACAATTATAACGTGACGACGATAACGTCACGCACGCAACACGGTTCACAATTATAACGTGACGACGATGACGACGATAACGTCAAGCACGCAACACGGTTCACAATTATAACGTGACGACGATGACGATGATAACGTCAAGAACGCAACACGGTTCACAATTATAACGTGACGACGATAACGTCAAGAACGCAACACCATTTACAATTATAATGTAACGACGACGACGATGATAACATCAAGGACGCAACACTATTAACAATGATAACGGCAAGCGACCAGCACGGTTCACATATATAACCTAACCACACTGATGATGACAACGTCACGCACGCAGCACGAGTGGAGACAGAAAAACATCGCCACTGGGGAGACAAAGGCGGCCTGGCGTGGTGCTGGCCACCCACCCCCTCGTGTGCCACAGTGCCGATCACAGGTGCTCGCTAACAGCACTTGCCCCAGCGGTCTGTTAAGGCTACAGGGCTAGCTTCCTTTACTCTTAGGCTTTTTCGGTAAAGTCACGAAGGCAAAAAATAAAAGTTCTAGAAGTAATAATAGAAATAAAATAACAAATCACGACGTTTCGGAGGCAACGCAAGTCTCTGTCATCAGGTGGGACCGTCACAGCCAGATTTGCTGTATCGGGTGAGGCAAAACGTTATTTTTTAAATTATAAACAAATTTAATCATAATCTTAAATATCATCATCATCCCTCCCCATAATCACCTTCATATCAACACCATCATCATTTTAAACATTATCATCATACTCATCCTCATCTCCATTGTCATTGGTGTTGTCTCTTCTTATCAGTAACAATGTCAGTGTATATGTGTATAATCTGACTCTTTCGTATGTGTCTGTGGTGATTGTGTGGAGCGGTGGTGCAGCGGTTAGCGCTACGTTGCGCTACGAACACATTTTTTGCCTCACTTGATACAGTAAATCTGGCTGTGACGGTCCCAACAGATGACGCAGACTTGTGTTGCCTCCGAAACGTCGTGATTTTTTATTTTAATTCTATTATTACATTTCTATTATTTTTATTTTTTACCTACGTGACTTTACCGAAAAAGCCTAAGAGTATGAATCCTTGCAGTCACGAAAGCTTCAAATCTAGAACTATCTTCTTGTTTCTTTCCTTGGGTAAAGTCACGTAGAAGGGAAATAATAAAATAATTAAAATAAAACATCATAAAATAATTCTCGGCCACAACGCAAGCAGCCGTGAGAATTATATAATGTTTTATTTTTATTATTTTATTATCTCCCTTCTACGTGACTTTACCGAAAGAACCAAGAAGATGAATCCCTGCAGTCACGAAAGCTTCAATTCTAGAACCATCTTTCTTTGTTTTACGCGACCACATTTTTACTCTCACGATCCTATCCCCAAACAAGACAGAGTCCTCGTGTCTTGCGCCAGCCAGGCTAGCCGGCCGGCTTGTTGTTCTTCCAGATCCTTATCATTGCCATTGTGAAGGAGCTTACCTCTGGTTGAATGGCTTTGAAGACCGGGCAATCCATCAACGTTATCTGACTCTGTGTGCAAGCGTAACGAAAAACAACCAAGATTAAACCCCCCCCACCACCCACCCCAAAGCATTTGGAGAACCATTGTTCCAGACAGGGGGCACACACAGCCGTGCAGGCTGGAGGGTGGCTCAATAGGCAACTGGCTGTGGCGCCTCACGGCAAGAGAGACCTGGGTTCGACTCCCGACTCGGGCGATTTTCTGCGTGGAGAGTTGGTATGGCCTCCCACCCCCACCCCCCGCCGTTCTGCACGGTGTGAGCGAGTGTGCGGGTTCGTGACCCCGGCGAGCCGGGATCGATTCCTGCTAAAGTCCAACGCCCGTGACGATTATCCGAAGCGGTCCTGGGCCTCCGCTAGGTCGACTCGGCCTCAAATTAGCACCTGGTGCGGTGTGTAAACATCGCCTCCGGGGAGACGAAGGCGGACGGGCGTGGTGCTGGAAACCCACCCGCTCGTGTGCCGTGCCGGCCTTCGTAGGTGCTGCTCGCTAACAGCACTTGCCCCTACAGTCTGTTACAGATTCTAGTTTCTTTCGGGAAAGTCACGTAAATAGAAAAAAAAAATGTGAAAAATTTAATATAAAATATAAATACTAAAATAACATTTTCATAATAAAAAACGGAGAAAAAAAATGTAAAATAATAAAAGCCAAGTCTGTAACAGGCTACACGGAGGGATCTTTGTCTTTGATCGCGACGGTAAAGTCACGTGGCCGCGGGCAACGCGAAATGTTTTGGCTCCGACGTTCGCTCTGTCGCTCGGAGAGAGATTACGCGGATTTTCCTGGCCACTGCTTCAGGAGGCTGTTGGAAAATAAAAATTTATTAAAATAACCGAAGAAGAGGGGGATGCTTACATAACGGTCTTGTCGGAAACAATCGGTGCGCGCTGGGCTGCTTGCACATCCAGAAAATATCGCTTTCATTCGCCGTTCCCATTGTTGCAGTGCACTCGATTCCCTCCTCGGGAACCGGTCCTCCGTACGGACGGATCGATTCCCTCCTCGGGAACCGGTCCTCCGTACGGACGGATCGATTCCCTCTATGGGGAACCGGTCCTCCGTACGGACGGATCGATTCCCTCCTCGGGAACCGGTCCTCCGTAAGGACGGATCGATTCCCTCTATGGGGAACCGTCCTCCGTACGGACGGATCGATTCCCTCCTCGGGAACCGGTCCTCCGTACGGACGGATCGATTCCTCTATGGGGAACGGTCCTCCGTAACGGACGAATCTCGATTCCCTCTATGGGGAACCGGTCCTCCGTACGGACGGATTCGATTCTCTCCTATGGGAACCGGTTCCTCCGTACGGGACGAACTCGATTCCCTCTATGGGAACCGGTCCTCCGTACGACGGATCGATTCCCTCTTATGGGGAACCGGTCCTCCGTAACGGACGGATCGATTACCTCCTCGGGCACCGGTCCTCCGTACGGACGGATCCGATTCCCTGCTATGGGTAACCGGTCCTCCGTACGGAGGATCGATTCCCTCCTAGGGGGAACCGGTCCTCCGTACGGACGGATCGATTCCCTCTATGGGGAACCGGTCCTCCGTACGGACGGATCGATTCCCTCCTCGGGAACCAGTCCTCCGTACGGACGGACTCGGTTCTCTCTATGGGGAACCGGTCCTCCGTACGGACGGACTCGGTTCCTCTATGGGGAACCGGTCCTCCGTACGGACGGACTCGATTCCCTCCTTGGGAACCAGTCCTCCGTACGGACGGACTCGATTCCCTCCTCGGGAACCAGTCCTCCGTACGGACGGACTCGGTTCCCTCTATGGGGAACCGGTCCTCCGTACGGACGGACTCGGTTCCCTCTATGGGGAACCAGTCCTCCGTACGGACGGACTCGATTCCCTCTATGGGGAACCGGTCCTCCGTACGGACGGACTCGGTTCCCTCCTCGGGAACCAGTCCTCCGTACGGACGGACTCGGTTTCCTCCTCGGGAACCAGTCCTCCGTACGGACGGACTCGGTTCCCTCTATGGGGAACCGGTCCTCCGTACGGACGGACTCGATTCCCTCCTTGGGAACCAGTCCTCCGTACGGACGGACTCGATTCCCTCCTCGGGAACCAGTCCTCCGTACGGACGGACTCGGTTCCCTCTATGGGGAACCGGTCCTCCGTACGGACGGACTCGATTCCCTCCTCGGGAACCGGTCCTCCGTACGGACGGATCGATTCCCCTCTATGGGGAACCGGTCCTCCGTACAGACGGACTCGAATCCCTCTATAGAGAACCGGTCCTCCGTACGGACGGATCGATTCCCTCCTCGGGAACTGGTCCTCCGTACGGACGGACTCGAATCCCTCTATGGAGAACCGGTCCTCCGTACGGACGGACTCGAATCCCTCTATGGAGAACCGGTCCTCCGTACAGACGGACTCGAATCCCTCTATAGAGAACCGGTCCTCCGTACGGACAGATCGATTCCCTCCTCGGGAACCGGTCCTCCGTACGGACGGATCGATTCCCTCTATGGGGAACCGGTCCTCCGTACGGACGGACTCGAATCCCTCTATAGAGAACCGGTCCTCCGTACGGACGGATCGATTCCCTCCTCGGGAACCGGTCCTCCGTACGGACGGACTCGAATCCCTCCTTGGGGAACCGGTCCTCCGTACGGACGGACTCGAATCCCTCTATAGAGAACCGGTCCTCCGTACGGACGGATCGAATCCCTCCTTGGGGAACCGGTCCTCTGTACGGACGGATCGGTCCCCGACGTGAGGGAACGTGGAGTTTCCACGTGACGAGAGCGCGTTTGCGAGTGGAGGTGGGTCCTCACCGCGAACTCCTCGGGCGTGACCTTGAGCACGTCGAACACCACCGCGTCGTAGCTCTTCGACATCTGCGAGGCGGCCGACGGCTTCTCCGACATTGACTCCGTGCTGCTGGTCGACTGCCAGGGGGGCGGGCGGGAGACAGAGAGAGAGAGAGAGGACGATGACGATGACGATGACAGTGACGACAAAAAATAAATAAACGAAAGCTTTATGTTTTTTTTTTATCCGGTAAGGCCACCACACCACTGAACCGTGTCCCTCGTTTTCAGAAGCGACTCTGGCCACGAAGTGTGGCTTGTCACCATTAGTTGGAAATTCATAGCAGCCCAAATACTCTGAACGCGTGACGTCGATTTCAGAAAAAGCAGAGGACCCGGAGAAAAATACATGTGACCACGGGGGAGAGAGACATCGTCAGGGTCGGGATCGAACCCACGACCTCCTGCATACCAGAAGGGGTAGTTAACATCTCCTCGCCACCACGATGATGATGATGAGAGAGAGAGAGACACTCAAAACTCCAAATATACAGCAGGCGTCATCAGGGTTGGGATCGAATCCACGACCTCCTGCATACCAGGCGGGATAGTTAACATCTCCTCGCCACCGTGATGATGATGAGAGAGAGAGAGACACGCAAACTCCAAATATACAGCAGGCGTCGTCAGGGTCGGGATTGAACCCACGACCTTCTGCATACCAGGCGAGGTAGTTAACATCTGATCATGATTATTCATAATCAACGTTTTTGGGTTTAGATCGCCGCGTTATTTATGAATGTGTCGTAACCCTCCACCACCCGACACGGCCAATCAGTAAAAAAGTGTCACGTTGACAAAAGACAAATAGTTCACTGCTTTAGCCCACCGGTGTGTTGAAGCATGAAACCACAACATTTACAATTTGAGTACGACGTTTCGCTGGTAATTGCACACATCGGTGGGCTAAAGCAGTGAACTATTTTGTCTTTTGTCAACGTGACACTTTTTTACTGATTGGCCGTGTCGGGTGGTGGAGGGTTACGACACATTTATAAATAACGCGATCTAAACCCAAAAACGTTGATTATGAATAACATTGGTCGCGAAAGCCTGCTCCGTGTTAAACTGATCTGATCATGATGTTGACGACGATTCCGAGCAGTGAGTGTAGCTACAACGCTACCACCACCACTACCGTCACCACCACTGTCACCACTGTCACCATCATTACATTACCACGACCACCACCATGACATCACCACCACCGTCATGACATCACCACCATCACCATCAGATCACCACAACCACCGCCACCATCACCCACCTCAGGTGCCTGAGCGCAAGAGGACGCATTGTGGCTTCTGTTCCCGACCGCCATGTCCATAGCTCAGGGCCGGGCCTCCCGCCGTCATGGGCTCACAGCGCCGGCACCTGACGCACGCAACAACAACAACAACAATCACCGACAACAACAACAACAACAACAACGCGTTCGTTCAACTTTATTTATCTATTTTTCCGTATCCCACCCCCCGACTGCGATCGCATTCGGAGATCTCGCAGAGCAGAGAGCAGTTGCCGCGACCTTTCACGTTGCCAAGGCGACGCTGTCAAGGCGACGGCCCGCGGAAGAGGATACCACAGAGCTAGCTTCGAGGCGTACGTAAGTGTAGTGAATTATGTACTGCATCCCAGTGTGGTGTATAGTGGTGTATCGTAGAATGTATGTGTGTTCAACTTCTTTCGCACAGTACGTAGCCAAACGTGCTAATCGGAGGTGCAGTGTGAGTCTATGGGTAGTGTTGAGTCTATGGGCAGTGTTGAGTCTATGGGCAGTGTTGAGTCTATGGGCAGTGTTGAGTCTATGGGCCAGTTTTGAGTCTATGGGTAGTGTTAAGTCTATGGGCAGTGTTGAGTCTATGGGCAGTGTTGAGTCTATGGGTAGTGTTGAGTCTATGGGCAGTGTTGAGTCTATGGGTAGTATTGAGTCTATGGGTAGTGTTGAGTCTATGGGCAGTGTTGAGTCTATGGGCAGTGTTGAGTCTATGGGCAGTGTTGAGTCTATGGGCAGTGTTGAGTCTATGGGCAGTGTTGAGTCTATGGGCAGTGTTGAGTCTATGGGCAGTGTTGAGTCTATGGGTAGTGTTGAGTCTATGGGTAGTGTTGAGTCTATGGGCAGTGTTGAGTCTATGGGCAGTGTTGAGTCTATGGGTAGTGTTGAGTCTATGGGCAGTGTGAGTCTATGGGCAGTGTTGAGTCTATGGGCAGTGTTGAGTCTATGGGCAGTGTTGAGTATATGGGCAGTGTTGAGTATTGGGCAGTGTTGAGTCTATGGGTGTGTGAGTCTATGGGCAGTGTTGAGTCTATGGGCAGTGTTGAGTCTATGGGCAGTGTTGAGTCTATGGGCAGTGTTGAGTCTATGGGCAGTGTTGAGTCTATGGGCAGTGTTGAGTCTATGGGCAGTGTTGAGTCTATGGGCAGTGTTGAGTCTATGGGCAGTGTTGAGTCTATGGGCAGTGTTGAGTCTATGGGTAGTGTTGAGTCTATGGGTAGTGTTGAGTCTATGGGCAGTGTTGAGTCTATGGGCAGTGTTGAGTCTGGGTAGTGTTGAGTCTATGGGCCAGTGTGAGTCTATGGGCAGTGTTGAGTCTATGGGCAGTGTTGAGTCTATGGGCAGTGTTGAGTCTATGGGCAGTGTTGAGTCTATGGGCAGTGTGAGTCTATGGGCAGTGTTGAGTCTATGGGCAGTGTTGAGTCTATGGGCAGTGTTGAGTCTATGGGCAGTGTTGAGTCTATGGGCAGTGTTGAGTCTATGGGCAGTGTTGAGTCTATGGGCAGTGTTGAGTCTATGGGCAGTGTGAGTCTATGGTGCAGTGTTGAGTCTATGGGCAGTGTTGAGTCTATGGGCAGTGTTGAGTCTATGGGCAGTGTTGAGTCTATGGGCAGTGTTGAGTCTATGGGTAGTGTTGAGTCTATGGGCAGTGTTGAGTCTATGGGCAGTGTTGAGTCTATGGGCAGTGTTGAGTCTATGGGCAGTGTTGAGTCTATGGGCAGTGTTGAGTCTATGGGCAGTGTTGAGTCTATGGGCAGTGTTGAGTCTATGGGCAGTGTTGAGTCTATGGGCAGTGTTGAGTCTATGGGTAGTGTTGAGTCTATGGGTAGTGTTGAGTCTATGGGCAGTGTTGAGTCTATGGGCAGTGTTGAGTCTATGGGCAGTGTTTATTCTATGGGCAGTGTTGAGTCTATGGGCAGTGTTGAGTCTATGGGTAGTGTTGAGTCTATGGGTAGTGTTGAGTCTATGGGCAGTGTTGAGTCTATGGGCAGTGTTGAGTCTATGGGTAGTGTTGAGTCTATGGGCAGTGTTGAGTCTATGGGCAGTGTTGAGTCTATGGGCAGTGTTGAGTCTATGGGCAGTGTTGAGTCTATGGCAGTGTTGAGTCTATGGGCAGTGTTGAGTCTATGGGCAGTGTTGAGTCTATGGGCAGTGTTGAGTCTATGGGCAGTGTTGAGTCTATGGGTAGTGTTGAGTCTATGGGCAGTGTTGAGTCTATGGGTAGTGTTGAGTCTATGGGCAGTGTTGAGTCTATGGGCAGTGTTGAGTCTATGGGCAGTGTTGAGTCTATGGGTAGTGTTGAGTCTATGGGCAGTGTTGAGTCTATGGGTAGTGTTGAGTCTATGGGCAGTGTTGAGTCTATGGGCAGTGTTGAGTCTATGGGCAGTGTTGAGTCTATGGGCAGTGTTGAGTCTATGGGTAGTGTTGAGTCTATGGGTAGTGTTGAGTCTATGGGCAGTGTTGAGTCTATGGGCAGTGTTGAGTCTATGGGCAGTGTTGAGTCTATGGGTAGTGTTGAGTCTATGGGCAGTGTGAGTCTATGGTAGTGTTGAGTCTATGGTAGTGTTGAGTCTATGGGTAGTGTTGAGTCTATGGGCAGTGTTGAGTCTATGGGCAGTGTTGAGTCTATGGGCAGTGTTGAGTCTATGGGCAGTGTTGAGTCTATGGGTAGTGTTGAGTCTATGGGCAGTGTTGAGTCTATGGGTAGTGTTGAGTCTATGGGCAGTGTTGAGTCTATGGGCAGTGTTGAGTCTATGGGTAGTGTTGAGTCTATGGGCAGTGTTGAGTCTATGGGCAGTGTTGAGTCTATGGGCAGTGTTGAGTCTATGGGCAGTGTTGAGTCTATGGGCAGTGTTGAGTCTATGGGTAGTGTTGAGTCTATGGGCAGTGTTGAGTCTATGGGTAGTGTTGAGTCTATGGGTAGTGTTGAGTCTATGGGTGTGTGAGTCTATGGGTAGTGTTGAGTCTATGGGCAGTGTTGAGTCTATGGGTAGTGTTGAGTCTATGGGCAGTGTTGAGTCTATGGGCAGTGTTGAGTCTATGGGCAGTGTTGAGTCTATGGGTAGTGTTGAGTCTATGGGCAGTGTTGAGTCTATGGGCAGTGTTGAGTCTATGGGCAGTGTTGAGTCTATGGGTAGTGTTGAGTCTATGGGGTGTTGAGTCTATGGGTAGTGTTGAGTCTATGGGCAGTGTTGAGTCTATGGGTAGTGTTGAGTCTATGGGCAGTGTTGAGTCTATGGGCAGTGTTGAGTCTATGGGTAGTGTTGAGTCTATGGGCAGTGTTGAGTCTATGGGCAGTGTGAGTCTATGGGTAGTGTTGAGTCTATGGGCAGTGTTGAGTCTATGGGTAGTGTTAGTCTATGGGTAGTGTTAGTCTATGGGTAGTGTTGAGTCTATGGGCAGTGTTGAGTCTATGGGTAGTGTTGAGTCTATGGGCAGTGTTGAGTCTATGGTAGTGGAGTCTATGGGCAGTGTTGAGTCTATGGGTATTATAGTGTTAGGTCTTGGTAGGTGAGTCTATGGGCCAGTGTTGAGTCTATGGGTAGTGTTGAGTCTATGGGCAGTGTTGAGTCTATGGGCAGTGTTGAGTCTATGGGTAGTGTTGAGTCTATGGGTAGTGTTGAGTCTATGGGCAGTGTTGAGTCTATGGGCAGTGTTGTGTCTATGGGCAGTGTTGAGTCTATGGGCAGTGTTGAGTCTATGGAATCATCGGAAAAACACAGCTGCGTGTCAATCCGCATGCAGCCCGTTGTTACATTCAACAGCGACCTCCCTCTGACCCCAAATTTCCAACGAGTAGGATTATTTGGACTCGGTCCTTCCGTACTCGGCGACACATTTTGGGCCTGCAGAAACAAAACAAAATACGAATTAGTTGTTCCCACACCCACCCCCCCATGATTCCAGACTCATGGGGGTCACCCCGTGGAGTTGGCACGGCTCCGGCCTTCTCCCCAACGGACGGATGCCCCCAGGCACCGCGGTGCCCTCGTTTCTCTCGCGGTGCTACAGAATAAAGGGACGCAACGACCGCTGGTTGTTTTGACACACACACACAAAGGGAGTCGCGGGAGGGATTGTGGGCTCAATGGGAGGCCCGGGCAGATGTCGCTGTGGGGGGGGGGGGGGGGGGGGGGTGGTGGGCGCGGGGGGCCCCTGGGGGTGTCCCACCCCCCTAGACACAGAGTCGACAAGAACACAAACACAGTTCGTATCGCATTGCAGGCATCATTTTAAGGCCGCGTGTCAATGAAGGAACAAAAATTAACCCGTAAAAACAAAGTTTTTTCACTATAAATCATTTATATGCGTGGCGGCTAGAGTCCTCCCGTCCTCTGGCTTGAGATGGCTGCCACCTATGGGTCAGATGATTGCCTGCCACCATTAAGCAATTGGTAATTAAATATTTAAAAAAAAATTCCTAAAAAGTGTAAAATTTTGGAAAAAAAATTTCACGAAAATTAATTGTCACGCACAACGAGTCTGTGTGCAAAATGTCAGCTCGATTGGATCACGGGAAGTGGGTTAAAAAACGACCGAAAGATTTGCACGGTCGTAAGCGCGCAAGCAAGCAAGCAAGTGAACTTAATATAAAGGATTTAAATAAGATAACCCGTAAAAACAAAATGTTTCACTCTAAATCCTTTATATGCGTGGCAGCGAACTTAATATAAAGGATTTAAAAATATATATGCCTGTGGAGGACGCGGGGATCGATCCCGCGACCTTTGGCATGGGAAGCGAGGGCACTACCAACTGCGCTACTCCGCCACGGTCTGTGGAGGGGTTACGCTCTGGGCTCTTACACTGTGACGTTCAGCCAAAGTGATGAATGAGTTCTATTTGAATATATGTAAAATAATTTTTTTTTGCCTAAAAAGTATTACATTTTGGTAATTTTTCACGAACATTAATTGTCTGGCACAACGAGTCTGTGTGGAAAATGTCAGCTCGATTGGATCACGGGAAGTGGGTTAAAAAACGACCGAAAGATTTGCACGGTCGTAAGCAAGCAAGCACGCAAGCAAGCAAGCGAACTTAATATAAAGGATTTTAAAAAAGGATCTTACTGATGAGTGCTTAAACCTGTTTCTCAAGT